ACGCTTTGGATATTTATCTACATATTTATGATTACATTCAGTTACTTGCTCTTATACACCCTAAACCAGAGGTGCCGAACTTATTTGTTACAAGGGCCGGATCTGACATCAATGACACTTTGTCGGGCCGGGCCGTGTGAGCCATAATCATGCCAGGTACCAGAGACAGAAACTGTATAAAGGACAGCGGCTGGCAAGGTCCGACTTGGTGCATCCTCACTGCAAGGCCTCGTGGGCTGGGAGGGGAGTGCAAAGGAAAACCCAGAGGGGTGGACTGGAGAGCCAGCGGTGCAGCGCTGGGCAGACATTCCCATGCTGAAGCCACAATCTGAATGGCTCCGCCCACTCCCCCACAAGTTCCCTCCCTTGCACTAGTTGCCTGCGGGCTGCATAACAGCCCTGGACAAGCAGTTCCAGGCCCTCGGCCTTCTGTTTGACACCCGAGTCCTACACTGATGTTTTGAGAGTGCCGGAAGTGATGCTGTTAATGATGTACTCGGTTCAGGTCAGAATGTTAGCTTCAGTTCATTTCTGAATCACTCGGCAGTTGAACAGTACAATCGTCACCTGAACTGCTGTGCAGAATCTGGACCGATTTAGCATGCTGCCGTTTAGGCAAGGAGAGGCTATTCCCAGAAGTGAATAATAATTTTTTTTTTAGGTGAAGCAATCCAATTTTAACGCTGAAATTTACAGAGATTGCTTAAAAGTTACTTGGCTCAACAGAGCTTTTAACACAAACACACACACAACAGGTTGGCACCAAACACAAGGAACAGAGACGTGATGGAACAATCAAGAACTTGCATAATTTGACCATAACGTTCCAGTTCCTGCTACTATTCTTAATTCGACCCTGCCTTGCTCTCCAAAGCAGATTATGACATGGAGCGCCCGCCCGTAACATGTGAAATTAGAATCTGTAACAAAACCATCAATTAAAGCATGAAACTCGCAAAACAAGGACAGACTACATACGTAAGCCAGCTCTAATAAACTGTTGATGTTAGCATTTGTGGCATGATTGTTTTAACAAGCAAAACTTTATTTAAAATACCACAGCCATCTTGTTTACACTTTTTTTACACTCTTTATAGTCTGTAAACTATCCTAAAATGCAGATTTTTAAGGAATACAAAAACACTCCAAAGAACAGTTTAAACGAATGTATTCCTATAAAAGGGCACAGTTACAGAGCGAGACATGGTCACCGGTTAATTTCGATCAAGGCAATGAGAATACCGTCACTGAACAGACTGCACTATGCTCAAGAACTGTGGCGTGAGGATACGCCTCACATCCAACACCAAGATGGTGGCTCTCATCCACTTTAGCTTTTTCTCCCTCTTCAAACAGACGTTCCATCAAACACGGAGTTAATTTTTTATGCTCTCCGCACACTTAAACCCCGGTTAGCTCATTGATTGAAAGCTCAACCCTTCAAGGTATACATCAAGCCCTGAAAATATGTGGGAAACACGTCAGGTTAATAAAGTTTTAAAAGTCTAAGTGCGTAGACTATACTATTTAAGGGGCAATGACAATTTCCCTTTTATCGGTAATTCTTCATAATGTCCCAGTACCATGATTATAACTGTAGCAGAATTAAGTCTGAACAGGTCAAATTCTTTTTGCGGAAAATTTCAGGCAGGCTGTGCCCCAGGGGGTCAGGCGGGGTCTGCCCTGGGCCCACGGACAATACATTGGGACACCCATGCTCTACCATCCTGTACCAACATGACTGAAAAGAAGGAAGCACTAAGTGCACCTCCTGAGTATCTTAACAAAGAAGAAGAAGAGGAGATTGGATTTATACCCCGCCCTTCACTCGGAGTCTCAGAGCGGCTTACAAACTCCTTTCCCTTCCCCTCCCCACAACAGACACCCTGTGAGGTGGGTGGGGCTGAGAGAGCTCTGACACAAACTGCTCTTTTTCAAGGACAGCTGTGCCAGAGCTTGTGACTGACCCAAGGTCACATCAGCAGGTGCAAGTGGAGGAGTGGGGAATCAAACCCGGTTCTCCCAGATTAGAGTCCACGCACTTAACCACTACACCAAACTGGCAGGAAAGGTGTGCTGTGGGGCCGGTGCGGAGACTGGCAGGGTTTCTCTGCAAGCAGGCGTATTTCATGAGCACGATCTTACTCACTTGTCGTGCACGCCTGCTCTTTAAAATCCTGACTCTGACTGGACAGGGGCATCTTGGCCAAACAGGCACAAGTATAAAGCTGATGCCTGCTGGCCACGGTGCCTCAGAGACTGTGGATGAGCAGCAGTGCTGAGCCAATGGACTGGCATCTACGAGATGTGTTCACTGGGAGTTTACCTCCCCCCCACCATCACTAGACCTGCAGGGGAGGACTGCTGACATCGCTGGGCTAGAGGACTGGGCACCAGTTTCCCTCCACCAGCTCTACCCCACCCCCTGCTTCTCTTTCCCTGCCAAGCCTTTACTATCGTAGCCTATCAACCCAGACGAAGCTGCCTTATCCCAAATCAGGCCCTGGGTCCATCAAGGTCAGTACCCAGAGAGCTGGTCTGGTGTAGTGGTTAAGAGTGGCCGACTCTAAACTGGAGAACCGGGTTCGATTCCCCACTTCCCCACTTGACCTTAGGCAAGTCGCCGCACTCTCAGCCAGAAAATAAGCGTAGCTCGCCACCTAGTGGTGCCAAAAAAGAGCTACAGCTTTGGCAGCCAAACAATCCCTTCCGGGATTCTTTACTGAATTGTAAAAATAGATTCCACTTACTTGGTCTTCCTCGATTTCTTCTCTGGAATGTTGCTACTTAAGATGAAAACGCTGTTCTCCTACACAGTAATGGGAGAGAAAGACACACAGGAGTACTCTTAGAGAACCAGTGGACAGGAGGGACAGTACTAGCCGGACTGATTTCTGACCGAGGTTCATGTTTTGAAATACATATTCCTTGAGCAAGTTCACACTGCTCTGACTGCTGAAACGCAAGCAGGTCTGTCGACCCAGGATGCGGCTTAGACGCATTGTCAACATGACGGGGTCATAAAAAAATCAGTTAACTAGAACAGCAATGGCACAATTCAGACAGGTAGGTAAACTGGGGTGGTGTAGTGGTTAAGAGCGGTGGATGTGACTCTGGAGAAGCGGTTTTGGTTCCCCGCTCCTCCTCATAATGCCTGCTGGGTGGCCTTGGGCCAGTCACAGTTTCCTCAGAGCTCTCTCAGCCCCACCTGCTTTACAAGGTGCCTGTTGTGGGGAGAGGAAGGGAAGGCGACTGCAAGCCACTTTTGAGACTCCTTAATGTAGACAAAAGCGAGGTATAAAAACCTACTCTTCTTCTTCTACCTTGCCCCGGCAATACAAAGGTTCAGAATCTATGGAAGGTGTTGATCAATACAGTTTCCACTCCTTGCTGAAGGCCCCTGTTCTACCTGCGCCTCCATGAACAATCTCTGGGGGTCAAAAAGGCAGTGGGGAGGAGGGGAAATGTAAGGGAAACCCATCTCTGCCAGCATTTTCTGCTAATGGCTAGACAGAAGGCACACCAACCAGGATTGACTGAAGTGCTAATTCTATGTGATCCATCTAAGGCAGCTTTTTAGAGCAAGTGAAGTAGGGTTGGGGGCAAGGGTTTTGACGAATATAGCCCAAACTGGCTTTTAGCATCCAAACTCCAGTTCAGGGACTGCTTACCACAATCCTGGCACCCACGTCTTCTGTGTCACGATCTTCGTTCACATCTTCCCCACTGAAACACAACAGCAGCCCAAAATGGATTAGCCACCGGATTTACTCGAAAGGAAGGTAATCCCGATTTTGAGATGACTTCCTCACACACAAAACATTATATGCCAAAAATAATTTTTTACTACACGCAACTGTAACTTGCCTATAAATGTATGACAACCCCCCCCCCCAAATAAGGAGTGCTCTGAGTAAGAAATGACATACTTTCCTTCTTCGATGGGAGAAAGAGGGCCGTCGTCATCCAAATATTTGTGCCTCCGTGAGTCCAGACTCTCCTTTTCTAGGTCCTCGGTGGCATCCACCTCTGCCAGTGATTTCTTGAGATGGTGCTCGAATTTCAGCTTCTCGATGTATTTGAAGAATCCTTGTACAGTTGCTTGCTAGACAAAGCGGAGATGTGTCATGCCAGGTAAAACGCCAACACGGTGGTGCAAAACAGTCACTGAGGAAAACAGTGCTACTACAGATATCCCAAGAAACTCTAACGTAATAAATTCATCCATATATCTTGTGTTTTTTTCTTTTTTAAATATATGTTTTACTCTTTTACAAATGTTCCTTGAAATCTTACTAGAGGTTGTCATATGTAAGTGATAAACAGGTTGCTTACCTGTAATTGAGTGGTCATCTGTGCATTCACACCCATGGGAAACAGTGCGCCTGTGTTGATCCGATCGGTGTTGTGCAGCGTTCTAAAAGGGATTTTCACGCCTCAGCCCTGGGCATGGGCGGGAACTCCACGCATTTGGAGAGTCGTTGAGCAGTGATCTTTGTGCCCGTCTTCTGTGGGGCACAGGACAGGAAGAGATACGGATCTTGCCGGGTAGGCCGAGTGCAATGTAGATTGGACAAGAGCACTTGCTTGCTTCACGTCCAAGGTGTGTAAGAGACGCTGCTCGTCGTTTATAGGGCTAGGGTAAAAGTCTGGTAGAAAAATTTCCAAATGGAGATGGACATCAGATATGACCTTCAAGAGGAAGGAAACATCAAGAACCAGACGCACTTCGTTTGATAAAAAGCATAGGCAGAGACAGTCAGCCCGGAGGGCTAGCAGTTCGCTGACTCCTCGCAGAGGTGATCACCACCAGGAACGTGGTCTTCCAAGCGAGGAATTTAAGGTCACAAGTCACCAGAGGTTCAAAGGGTTTCCGTATAAGGTGACATAGCACTAATGGAAGGTCCCAAGTCTTAATCGGATGCAAATACAGAAAGCCACATAGGAAACGCTTAGACAGTAGATGAGAGAAAACTGCGAAACCTTCAATCGGACTGGGATAAGCCGAAATGGCTGCCAAATAAACCCACAGAGAAGCATGTGACAGACCAGAATCTGACAAAGAAAGGAGGAAGTCGAAAATGCAGTGAAGGCCCACGAATGTAGGTGGCAGTTGAGGAGAACCAAGGCCGGTCAGAAACCTGGACCACTCACAGGTATATGACTTGCAAGTCGTTGACTTCTGGGCGTTCGGGAGAACATCTGAGACCCGGTGGGAGAAGCAGGACAACGAATCCTCCAGGCGGTTAATTTCAAGTGGGGGATGTTGTGGTAATGTAGACGTCTGTCCAGCGTCATGAGGAGGTCCTGAACCATCGGAAGGTGGTAAAAATTGTTCTTGGCAAGTTGGCGAAGAAACGGGAACCAAGTCTGCCTGGGCCACCATGGCGTTACCAAGATGCAGTCTGCGTCGTCCTCTGCAATCTTGTGCACCACCCGTGGAAGAAGGGGCATTGGAGGGAACATGTACAGGAAATCGAGGCTCCAAGGATACAGTAAGCCATCGCCGAGAGAGAGAGAGGAACCGCTCCTCCTCGACAGCATAAGGGGGACATTTTTTGTTGGACCGGGTAGCGAAGACATCCAAGTCTCCTGTAGAAGGACAATATCAAAGGAAGACATCCACCATCGGGTGGCCCCAATGAAGGAAGACGAGTTTCAGGTAAGTCCAGTTCTACTCCCAGTCATGAAGGCACGTGACTCCCCTGCTGAGGAGGTCCACCTGAACATTCAGGGCTCCCGGAATGTGTACGGCATGGAGAAAAGCACTATGAGACAGGCACCAGTCCCATAGTTGCAGAGCCAGGGAACAGAGTCAACGAGACACTGTGCCCTCCCTGACAATTGATGTAGCTCAGGGCTGTGGTATTGTCTGTGAAGATGGCTACCGATTTTCCTAGAACTAGTGGCTGGAAAGATTGGAGTGCAAATTTGATAGGAGCTCTAGGTAATTGATGTGATGGTGCTGGAGATCACTTTCCCATTTGCCCCCTATGCAAAGGCCTTTCAGGTGGGCACCCCAGCCCCACAAGGATGCATCCGTGGTCAATGTCAGTTGAGGATCGGGCCGATGAAACGGAGCACCTTGGACCAGATTGGAGATGTGTTCCCACCAGGCTAGAGAGTCCCAAACAGACTCGGGGGGTAGAGTGGTGTTGATTGCAGCTGCCTTGTAGGGTTGAAGCTCCTTAGGAACCACAGTTGTAGCGGTCGCATCCGCAGCTTGGCAAACACGAGAACCGCAGTGGTTGCGGCCATTAGTCCCAGGAGACACTGAATTTCGAATGCCGAATTTGAGACTGAAGACCAGACTCGTTGAGTGAGGGAGAGTAGAGCAGCTGCTCTGTCTGGTGGCAGATAAGCCCTGGAAGTAACAGAAACCAAGATCGCACCGATGAATTGTACTCTCTGGGCGGGACAAAGATGAGATTTTCCCCAATTCACACAGAGGCCCAGAGTGTGAAGTAGATCTAAGGTAGTCTGGATGTCCAGTATCAATTGGTTTCGGGGAATTTGTGACCAAAAACCAATAGTTTGTATAGGGGAAAATCGTGATGCCTTGCAGACAAAGAAAGGCGGCAACCACAAACATGGTCTTGGTAAAGAGCCTTGGGGCTGTAGAGAGGCCGAAGGGAAGGGAAAGGCCTTGTACTGATAATGTAGATCTCCTATCGTGAAGCGGAGGTACTGGCGATGAGAAGGATGGCCAGATGAAAGTAGGCATCCCGAAGGTCGAGAGTGGCCATCCAGACCCCCTTTTGCAATAGGGGAAATATAAATTGTAGGGAGATCATTCTGAACTTGCGGTACACGATGAAGGAATTCAGCCTCCTGAGGTCTAGGATAGGTCTAACGCCGCCATCCCTCTTGGGAACAATGAAGTATCGGGAGTAAAATCCAGTACCCCAAGAACTGACTGGAACTTCCTCTATGGCATTTTTGTCAAGAAGGACACCAATTTCTTGAAGAAGTGCAGGGGATGATGGGGTGGTGACGACAACTGGAAGAGGAGGGTGCTGAAAAAATTCTATCGAGTACCCCAGGGAAATAATGGAGAGGACCCATTTGTCGGTTGTAATCTGATGCCGAGCAGAGAGGTACGGGGCAAGATGAGTGGTGGTTTGTAGTTGACTGGCAAAGAAGTCAAAGGCCCTGTTTGGAGCAGGCAGCTTGAGTGCTCCCAGGGTACCAAGGCTTAGAGGCATACTCTGCCCCTCAGGTGATGAGCAAGGGCACCAGGAACGGTCAGGTGAGTGTTTTAGGTAAGAGCGCTTAGACCATGTTCTGGACTAGTACTGAGATTTGAAGGGCTTGGACGATGGAGCAACTCCCAAGGTATGAGAACCCTTGATACTCTTATCCTTGCCCTGCAGGACGGAGTCTGTACTGGCATGGAATAGACCCTCTCCATCAAAAGGAAGGTCCTCAATGTAGGCCTTAGTGTCAGACTGAAGAAAGGTAGAATGCAACCAGGAATGCCTGCGCAACGCAATCGCTGACGCCATTGTTTCAGAAAAGGTGTCAAGGGCATCCTTTGATGTCTTTAACTGTTGCTTAGCCAGGATGAGACCCTCCTTCTGAATCTTGTGGGCTAGTTGGCACTTGTCATCAGGTAGAGAGGTGAAGACCTCACTCAGCCGTTCCCAGAGAGCGTATTGGTACCTACTCATGCAAGCCATGTAGTTAGTGATCTTGATGCCCAGCGCGCCTGCCGAGTAGAAGCGTCTCCCGAAGGAGTCTAACTTCCTGCTTTCTTTATCCAATGGAGCTGAATGGGTCCATTTTGATTTTGAAGCCAAGGTGACAACCGTAGAATTTGGTTTGGGATGCTTGAAAAGGAACTCAGCACCGGGTTCTTGTACCTTGTACATATGGTCAAGGTCGCATGACGAGGCTGGAGCAGAGGAAGGTTTGTCCCAGGGCGTTTTAGCAGCCTGAAGTAGGACAGAAGACATAGGTAAGGCAATAGTGTCAAGCTGGACCACATCATACACTGGATCTGAAACCACAGGTTGAGGTTGAAGCACAGGAAGGCCCAAAGACTGAGCCATGCGCTTGATAAGATCCCAATAAGATGTTTCATCATCTGAAAGAGAGATTGGGAGATCATCGGAGATTGTTGGTTTCGGAGAAGGATCATCCGGGGAACTATGGGCATCTGAAGCACTGGCGTCGGAGTCCTCACCGGAGGATTCGGAAGAAGCAGAAGCCGGGGTCGATATGGGAGGCAATTGTAGAGGAACCTCTGTCGGGGCAGGGGGAGGTGTCAATGACGGATGCTTCGATATTGACTGAACGGGCGATTGACGTTGGGGTGAGAGGTCACATGGCGTCAGAGTCCTCACACAAGCACTGGCGTCGGAGTCCTCACCGGAGGATTCGGAAGAGGCAGAAGCCGGGGTCGATATGGGAGGCAATTGTAGAGGAACCTCTGTTGGGGCAGGGGGAGGCGTCAATGACGGATGCTTTGATACTGACTGATCGGGCGATCGACGTCGGGGTGAGAGGTCACAGGGAGGTTCTGGCGGCTTCGATATCGAAGCGGACGGAGGTGCGCGCACCCCGCGGGGGGAGCGTGAGCGGCGGGTAGACAGCCTATCCCAATCTGATGGCCTTGCGGGAGTCAGCCATGGTACGGAGGTGGAAAGTGGAAACGCACCATACATAAAGGAAAGCTGACGCTGGTCCCAAGGAAACATATGTGGAGCGGGAGGGTGGAACTGACCAGGGGACCTTTCTGAAGAGAAAGTACCTCTCCGCGAGCGGTGATCTTCCCGGTATCGGAAGGCATCAGCTCTGTATGCATAATGACGATCGGTGTCGACAGGAGGCCGATACCGATGACGGCGTGAAGGCTCCGTGTCGATCGGAGGACAAGATCGGTCAGTTGCAATGGAGGATCTAGAGGGTGACCAAGCTGTTCGTGGTGAATCAATGTTGGAGGCCGATATCGAGAAAGGCGGAGTCTCAGAGAAGGGTTCCGACGACGGGGGGTTCAATTGCCAAATGGGAGAGTCCAAGAGTTCTATAGGCGGTGTGGGCAAATTTGTCAGCAAATCCGCAGTTGGAGCCTCCAGAGAAGTGGGTTGCGTTTGAATACTTTGCGCAGAGCCCACAGCGTCAACAGTAGTGCTTGATTTAAGGGACTTATGGGTGCCCTTCGTTGAGCTCTTGTGGCCCTGGTCTGATTTTTCTTTCCTCTTTGCAGGTGTAGAAGAAGCGGACTGAGGGACTGGGATCGATTGTTTTGATGCTGGCTGGCCGATACCGGAGGCTGACTTCGACGGAGCCAGAGCTGTCGAAGTCGAAGGTCTTTGAGGTGCGTCAGACGCCATCGTCGAGGAATGTTCGGTGGGGTACTGAGGAAGAAAAAGGGGAGAATCCTGAAGAGCTGAGGTAAATCAGACTAAATCTCACTAACCGAAGAGCGAGCTGTTAACAGCGTGGCGGTCAGAAGAGACCTGGTGGGATGTTCGTGCCCCGCCTCCTCAGCATGCACAGGGAGGTTCCTGCGCATGCCCGGGGCTGAGGCACGAAAATCCCTTTTAGGGCACCGATCAGATCAGCGCAGGCACAGTTTCCCATGGATGTGATGCACAGAGACCATGACCAAGATCATAAAGAACACATATGCCAATAGTCTCAAATGGTTCAACTTATTTTTTAAAAGTCCAATTTTGGCGTTGTTGGACATGCCTCTGATATAGCGCATTTCAGGTCTTCATCAACAATCAAACATAATCTTCAAGGCCTGAGTTAATGCCCATACATCTTATTCTGACATAAGTCTTGTCTTAACCATGTTATTAGTGAAACCCTTGCAAAAGGCCTCCTCAGGAGGTGGTGGGCTCTCCTTCTTTGGAAGTTTTCAAACAGAGGCTAGATGGCCATCTGACAGCAATGCTGATTCTGTGAACTTCGGCAGATCCTGAGAGGGAGGGCAGGAAGGGCTGCATCAGTGCTCAGTTCTTGTGGCCCTTTCTTATATGCCCAGGGAAATGCTGATCGCCACTTTGGGTTCAGGAAGCAATTTTTCTCCAGATCCGTATAGCCGGGGATCCTGGAAGTTTTTTGTCATCTTCTGGCCATGGAGCAGGGGTCACTGGGGGTGTGGAGGGCGAGGTATTTGTGAATTTCCTGCATTGTGCAGGAGGTTGGAGGTCCCTTCCAACTCAATGATTCCTACAACTCTATGATTCCTGAAATTCCTACAAGCCTGAAGCCCTCACAGGCTGCTACAGTTGCTAATGGGCTCTCCAAGCAGAAGCTATCTGAAAGCAAAACAGTTCTGGCCTGAGGTCATCAAAGCTTCCAATAGTCAGGAAACCAGTTGTATTCATCCTAGTTTGATTATACAGTGAAACAGACACAATAAAGCCTAGACCAGGTGCCCCCAACCTTTTCGTGCCAGTGGGCACTGTGGCGGAACGGGCCTGCGTCAGCTGGCAGGCCCCGCTCTGCCCACCCCTCCTTTGCCTGACCTGGCACTTGAAGGGGCAGTTTTTCTCCACTGCCTACGGGTATTGCTGCCACCACCGTTCCCGTTTTGGGCTCTGGTGAGGTGGGATGGCCTCCTAACCTCCCTCCGGTGTCACTAGGAGCCCACCTTGGGGCTTCCTGGCAATCTTTGGGGGTCCCCTGGAGAGTTGGTAACTGGCCATTTTGCCCTTGTTCTCCTCCTCCTCAGGGAGTCCCCGCCCCACCCCTAGCGTGTCCAAGCAGCTGGGGGAACTACGCAGTACAGAGGGACTTCTTGCTATTAACAGTTAAAGGATTTATTCGAAAACTTAACTATTTACAGGCATATCCACAGTGAACTGAAGGAAGAATCAAAATAAAGGTGACCAAACCGCTCCATCTCTCCCTTCTCTACACTCACGCCCTGTCTAGATGGTCTGCAGGGCAGGCCCATGACTTCATTTCATTGGCGAGAGTTGGATCAGCAGGTCTCCCAACACGGCCTCCGTCTCCCGCAGGCTCCAACTGACTGACTGGCTTCAGACTTCTGACTGAATTACTTCCCACCCAAAACTCCACAATAAAACAGCAGGTTCCTGCCCAGGAACTGGCTCTCCCTCCTGCAGCATTCTGCGGCACAGGCCCGTAGCCAGGATTTCTTATTTCAGGGGGCCTTTAAATAAGTCAGGGGGCACTGATAAAATAAAAAAACAAACTTACACTCGCAGGCAGGAGTAGGGTTATTTCCCCTATTGTGGAGGGTGGGTGTAAGTGGAAGTCAGTCACTGACTCCGAGTAACCTGAGGAAGATCCCCTCCTCCTCTCATTTCCCCCCGCAACCGCATTGGCTGTGTGGAGTGCAGGGGACTACGGCGAAAGTGGCGGGCTCCTGTTCGGTTCCTTATTTCTTTCTTCCTGGCTGACTTTGTGCTTCCACGGTGACTTTGCCTCGGTCACACCCCCACCCACCGCCCTCTGCAGGGGGGGCTTTCTGCTGCAACACTTCTCAGACTTTGAAGTGGCAGCCTGCCCAGGGAGACAAACCAAAGGAGGAGAGGTGGGCAAGCAGATGGGATGGAGATGGCTGCTCTGCTGCCACTGGTGGCTTGGGTGCGCCCTGCGTTAGTGCAACTGGGCTGGACTGAGAAGGCGGGAGCCGAAGGAAAAACCCGGGAGGGGAAGCTGAGGGAGTGCTGTGTTTCTCTCTCTCTTGACGATGAGGGCACAGGCGCATGCAAGTGAGCGAGGTCTGCATTCTTGCACTGGAGGGAGAAGGGGAGAAATCTCTGTAGTTGCATGTTCAGCCACAGGACCCACAGCCCCCTGGCTGCACCTCACCTACCAGCCCGCTCGCCTGGCTGCCGTGGCTTAGGGATGTGCATTCAGTTCGTCTAAGGTGAATGCACCCCCGAAAATGGCCCATTCAGGCTGCTGTGGGCCGATTCAGATTCTCTGATCTGAATCGGCCCCAGTATATCCTATGAGCCATTGAAGTCAATCCACTGGTATTGCCGAAATTGAAACGTGGGAGTCTTTCTGCCTGCTGAAATTGATTCTGCCCGATTCGGCCGCCTGTGGGGCTGCTGACAGGTGAGGAAGTTGTGGGGCCTTGGTAGGAAGTCGGGGGGCCAGACCCCAGAATGCTTCAATGTAGCTACGGGCCTGCTGCGGCAGATCTCCTCACTACCATGATGGACCTTCTGTCCTCTCTACGGAGCTGCCCTCAAGACTGCTGGTTGGAGACAGGAGAAGGGGGGGGGGATGAGGAGGGGACTAGGCCAAGGCCTACCTCAAATTTGATGGTCTCCTCCTATCCAGCCCACACCAACTTAAACACATACGCAAAATGGCGTTTCTCCACAAGCGCCTTTAGAATCCTAACTCAGAACAGTGAGCAGAACCACAAAGTGGATGCCACAGGAAATGGAGAAACACAAAACGGCTACTGCAGGGGGACCACAGAATGTCCGGGAGTGAAGTTATATCTAACTCTGAGAGTAGCAACTTGACATTTCAGGCAGAAGCCTTGTTGAACAGGATTCCTTTTAATCGGCATAGCCAATCAGAAGCTGGGGAAATGCCCCACCTACCCCCCCCCCACTTTCTAACAGCGTTTGGGGGGGACCATGTTGGGGACCCCTGGTCCAGATCGCCCCCCCCCCCATGAGCACGAAAGCGGTTACTCACAAGCACAACTGCAGCTTACCTCAAACAAACACTCCATTCTCAAGGGAATGTGCTCCTTCCCATAGAGTTTCCGCACAAAAGGAAACTGAAGGTACTTCCCCGGGGGCCTTTTCCTTTGCTTTTCTTTGGAGGCCCTGAGCCGTGGTCTCTTCGAACATGGCTCTGGGCTCTTGTATTTAGTGGCCGCTTCTGTCGGAGGGCTTAATCTGCAACGCCTGCGCCTCCTTTGTTTCCTTCTGGAGTGATAGTCAAAGAGGGCTCTCAGGTCAAGTTTAGGCATGGGCAACTTAGGTTGACCTCCAGACTTTGCCGAAGACTCAGCAGAAGGACCGCCACGTGCTTCGGCACCAGGTGGATTCTCAGGTCGCCCAATGAGTCTTGCTGAATTCCAGGTTCTTACTTCTCTTCTTGAGGCTCGCTGAGAACTTGAAGCTGAGCTGTAACGACACAAAAAGATGCATGGGGTAGAAAGAGTTGGCAGAAATTTTTCTCCCTCTCCCAAAATACTAGAACTCAAGGGCAGTAAGGTTCGGGATGGACAAAAGGAAATCCTACTTTATACAGAGAGTGATTCAAATGTGGAATTCACTGCCAGAGGATGCAGTAATGGCCACAGGGATAAACAGCTTTATCGTGGACGATAAGTCTATCCGTGACTGCTAGCCATGGTGGCTGAGGGGAACCTCCACATTCAGAGGCACTAAGCCAGAGTCAGAAGGCAGTATCAGGGGAAGGCCTCGGCCTCTATGCCCTGTTGTTGGCCACGGTGCAAGACAGGATGCTGGACTAGATGGACCACTGGTCTGATCCAGCAGGGCTCTTCTTAAGTTCTCATAAGTCTATCCGTGGCTACTAGCCGTTGTGACTGAGGGGAACCTCCACATTCAGAGGCACTAAGCCAGAGTCAGAAGGCAGTATCAGGGGAAGGCCTCGGCCTCTATGCCCTGTTGTTGGCCACGGTGCAAGACAGGATGCTGGACTAGATGGACCACTGGTCTGATCCAGCAGGGCTCTTCTTACGTTCTTAAGAATAGCTCCATTCAGAAGCTGAACCACCACGGTTTCTTTGGTAAAGGAAGAGGCTTGAAGCTGTCAAGCAGCATTTTATTTGTTCAGATAACTTTTATGCTACTTTTATGAACTTCCTTGAATCGGCTTAAACGAAACAAAAAACACGAGCCATTAAATACTCTGAACTAAAACCCAACCGGAACAGAAAAATCCCATCAACTAGGCAACTTAAAAGGAATACCAGCTTTCAGACCAGAGCTATTTAAAAAGGCGGCAAAACATCAGCCCCTTAACTAAATGCCTGAGCAAACAGAAATGTTTTGGCCTGGCGGCTAAGTCAAAGACAGGTGGGCAGGTGAGGCTCAATGGGAAGTGCTTTCCACAGGCGAGGTGTGCCACTACTGAAAAGGCCCCGTCTCTGGTTGCCCACCATCTCCACTCTTTGACGATGGGGGCACAGAGAGCAGGGCAGACCTTAACTGGCGGGCTAGATAGTCCGGGGCCAAGCCAAGGCGAACTATGATTTCCAGTGGCAGGGAGCCTTTACAAATGCCTGCTGTGAGAAGCTCCGACAAATCTGAGGCCAGTCAGACTCAGCCTGACACGCCTCACAGGGCTTTTGTGAGGATAAAGCTGAGAAGGGGAGACTGTCACAAGCCCATCTGGGGAGGAAAAAGTGGGGCATGAACAAAGTAAATAAAAGTGGGCAGATCATGTCTTTTAAAACCATCTGCTGGATACAATCCTACTGTCAGGAAACATCTGCATTTAAATATTGTACCGTTCTGTTATTGGGCAGCTGATGATATGTATACACCACGCTGAGGAGCTGTGGGTCTGTGCCTCAACTGCCATCAAGTCGCTTCCGAGTCATGCCAGCCCCTACGAATCAGTGCCCTCCAAAATGTCCTACTGTCAGCAGCCTCGCTCAGGTCTTGCAAACTTGCCTGGGGTTTCCTGGACTGAGTCCACCCATCTCACGTTGGGTCTTCCTTTTTCCCTGCTGCCTTCCGATTTTGCCTGCCATTCTGTCTTTCCCAGTGACTCTTTTCTCATCACTATTAGCTTCTAAGGAGAATCCAGGCTTGATTGGAGCTAGAACCCCACTTCCTGGGCTTTTGGGTGGTTCACGGCATCCATAAAACTCTCCTCCAACACCACATTTCAAATCAATCAACTCTCTTCCCGTCAGCTTCGTTCATCCCCCGATATTCACTTCTAGAAAAGATGCTTAAATGTAGGGAAGTGTTGCTGGGGACCAAGACCAAGGTCATCCACACCAAAGTATTCCCCATCACTATGTATGGGGTGTGAAACCCAGACCATGAAGAGAGCCGATTCATTTGAAATGTGGTAGCTTTACAGATCCCATGGACCGCCAGCATCTACCGAATAGAAATGTAAGGTAATCCACACAGGCACACAAAAGGTCTTCAGTCTTCTCATAGAAGCAGCAGCATAGAACTTTGATCCCTGGACACATAATGAGGACTGCCACATGGACATCACTACAGTGGCCAGACCGAGAGAGGAAGGCAGTATACTAAAATGAGACTCTGATAGCAGAAAACCCATTATACAGACTGGATGACTGAGGTGTGCTAAACGACGAAGAAAAAGCTTTTCCACCAAAGACTGGTTGTCTACCAGCAAGTTTCTGACTTCTGGAAAACCTTTAATAAACCATGAAGACAATGGGAACTTCAATACAGTTTCACGGAATATATAAACGGGGCAAACAATATAGACTCACGGCTCTCGATCTTGGTTACCAGGTGTCGCTTCGTCTGAGCAAGCCTGCTGCAAGTCTTCCGAGGAGCTGCTGGTGCTCAATCCTTCAGAGTCCTCAGACGAGGAGCTTTCCTCTCCATCAGCCATGATTAGCTTCTAGGTTGCACTAGAGGAAGGAACACACAACCATCAGTCACCCATCACCACAGCCAAAGGGAGGAGGAAGCAGCTAGAAGTGTGTGCGCACAGGCATGCATGTGTGTGTGTGTGTGTGTGTGTGTTAAGGCTCGTCAAGTCACTTCCAAGTTCTGGCAACCCTGTGAATTAATGACCTCCCAAACACGCTATAATTGACAGTCTTGCTCAGGTCCTGCAAATGCAGGGCTGTGGCTTCCTTGACGGAGTCGGCCCACCTCAAGTTGGGTCTTCCTCTTCTCCTGTTGCCTTCAACCTTTCTTGCCTTTTCCAGTGACTCCTGTCTTCTCATAATGTGACAAAAGTACAATAGGCTCTGTTTAGTCATTTTAGCCTCTTGGGAGAGCTCAGGCTTGATTTGATCTAGAACGCACTGATTTGTCTTTTTTGGTGGTCTATAGTATCTGTGAAACTTTCCTCCAACAACATATTTCACTTGAATCAAATGAAGGCCCCGGGGGGGGGGGGATGGGAAAAAATTGGGGAGCTTTGAATACCTAAGAACTCCAGTAAGAGAAATGTTTTTTGACTAAGTTTTATTCACTCAAAACATGCTCTATACAGGAGTGTAGAATTTCCAGAAATTATGAAGTCATGGGGAAAATGTATGTTCCCCACCCCCAGAAAAATCAGAAATATCGGGGAAAACCGGAATATGCGCATTACTTACTTTCCTATCAAACCTAAACGACTTTTACTGATTCAAGATCATAGTGTGCATTGCTTTTAACAATCTAGGACATTCACAGAGTTTGAAATTATATCTTCTTCTGTAAGAAACCTTATGCTACAGTGGCAAAAATGAAAGACACTCCTGCTACCTGAGGTAGAAAAATTCTGTAGCAAACAGAAGCACATTAGTTGAACACGAACTCTCTCATATAACTGGTCAGAATACCAGCATGTTTATATTTGAAACACGGAACTTCAACATAACGCTTTAGCGCATTACAGCATATTACGTATCGCCTAAAGTATTCACACTTAAGCATATGCTTTAAGATATTACACGTGTCAACAGTACACACAGGAATCGGCATTGCCTACCTACCCTTTCTATACTAGACATTTTGAGTAAAATCTCACTTTTCACTTCACTTGTTCCAAAAGGGGGAAAGTCACAGGAATATTTTTTAGTGTTCTCCCAGACAAAAAAGTTGAAAAAGTCTCCAGATTTCCCCCCACAGCATGCATTTTAAGTGTGAAAAGCCTTGCCGTAAAGGACAGGGCGATTAATAAAGAAGCCTTGCCCTCCTTCTAAAAGAGGAAATGTTTCCTAGGATTTTTTTAAAAAAATTATTTCATTCGTAGCCTGCCTTTCTCCCTGGGACTCAAGGAGGATGCCCTCCTTCAATTTTTGAGTCAGAAAAATTGACATTCACATGCTCCGCCGTTGCATGGGAACCCCAATCAGCTTCAGCTGTCCAAGGCCATTCCTAATAAATAAATAAAAAGTGGAAAAAGCAGTCTGCTTGGTGTTGGGTGCTGGGCAACAGAACCCAATGGTCCACAGGTGGCCTTATCTGCCCTTCTCACCTCAAGAATGTGAAATTAACTACTAGGCTTCTGCAAGGAACTAAACACAAAATGGACAACTAAAAAAAATAAAACAGTCCCCAGTTACTACAGTAGGTTTCCAGTATTGCTATGCAAACATCCTGCTAGGCCTACCCTAACTCTATGAGATGGAATCAGGCTGATAACCTAACACCACTGAACACTCAGCCTTCACAGGGTTATCAACTCTCTGGGTTAGTTTATCTGCCCATTTGTTCTTTTAGCTTCAGGTATACTGTAGATGTCTTGGCCTAGCTGGTCAGATCTCAGAAGCTAAGCAGGACTGGCCCCAGTTAGTATTTTGGGTGGGAGGCCACCAAGGAATACCAGGGTCACCATGCAGAGGAAGGCAATGGCAAGCCACCTCCGAACGTCTCTTGCCTTGAAAACCCCAAGGGTTTGCCATAAATCAGCTACGACTTAATGACAAAAAACTCCCAAGTATTTTTAGGCTGGGGGCAAATATTTTTATATTGCCCCTCAGCATAATCAGGCACTGCCCTTTGACATGTCAGAAACGAGGCTCCAGCCCCCAGAGTGACGCACCCCCAAACAAGCTTCACTCTCCTTATCAGCGCCTACCCCGACTCCATCCACCAACCTGCCACCTGTTTCATTCACTAACCAGGCATTTTTAAGAACAAAGATTTGAGTCTAGTAGTATCCTTAAGAGTACCAACCAAGTTTTCTTCTGGGTATACATAGAGATGTAAAATTTCCGGAAATTTTGAAGCTCGGAAAAAAAAAAACCGTTTTCCCCCCAGGTTTTTTTGGAAAAAAACTGAAATTTTTGGAAAAATTGAAAAAATGCTACATTAGCATTTTCTTTTGTCTTTTCTAGATTGAAAGTCATTCTGTTACTTTAGGAACATAAAATATGACTATGGACATTTTTACTTGGCATGAAATTATCACAACTAGCATATTAAAAATATAGTGTATCCAAACAATTATTACAAACAGAATACCCACCCACATGCAAAAACAAAATTGAAACCTTTTTATTTTCTTCTGATAATAGCACGTTCTAAAGGTGCATCTTATTCTTGCATTGCATCTTCCAATGCATCTTATTCTTGCATTGGAGAGTTCAGTTTGTAACCTAGGACTTGCTTGTCCTCAGTGCACAGAAATTAGATCAATCTGATACCATATATATATATATTTTAGAAATGATTTGGAAAATATTTGAACACCTTGTCTTAAAATATTTTATTCATCATGTTAAAATAAAATGTTCCATAATCAATTTTTTTTCTTTTCTTTTTTCAATTTTTTGGAAAAAAACAAAAGGCTTCAAGGAAAAAACCCGGGTTTTTCCCGAGCCTTCACATCTCTAGGTATACACTTTCATGTGTACGCCCCCTTCACCAGAATGCAAACCAAAGCTTAGACCCAGAATTAAACTTCGTTGGTCTTAAAGGTGCCACTGGACACAAACTTTGTTTTATTGCTTCAGACCAACAGGGCCACCCACCTGAAACCCATCCAAATACTCAGCAGGGCAGACGCTGCTTAGCTTATGATTCCTGACTAGCCTGGGGGCCATTCAGATCGCACTCTTGAGAGATCCCGTCCAGGTGACTCGAGTTTAAACAAATGGATTTTAATGTTTCACGGGTACAGACTGGAACACCTCTGCATAAAATCGCACTGAAGCACACACTGGAAATGCGTCAGGCCCCACACCAAAAAAGTTGCTCTTACACAGCTTCCTCCATGAAAGCCCATTTTTGCCTGGCATTTCATAAAGTGGACCTCTCCCAGCAGCAACACGATCGGGGCCTAAGCTTAGCGATTCAGTAAGAGCTTGCCCAGTATTTAAGGGGCACCATGACCCCTAGGCTAGATCTTAACCTAGTGAACGATGAAGTGGGGGAGGGAACCATTAAATAGCGCTTGCTCCCAGCTGTGCCCCCCCCCCAACTCTTTATCTGGATTAGCTGTTTGAGGCGGAGACAGACGTCCTCCCTAACACGGATCAACTGCGGCATCAGCTTTTCGGCGCCTTAATATCTTGGCCATAACTTACATAAACACCCCCTGATTCTCCCCCCAGTAACCCCCACTCTGCCTACAGCGACAATTAAGCGGATGCCAACGGATCCTCAATGCGCCCCACATCCGCGACTGAACCTCTTACCCGTTTCCTCGCGCGCCTAAACAAGGCCGCAAAACTCCCAGTGGGGACTTTAAATACATCTGCTGCTCTCGCGAGACTTTGAGGTTTCTTTGGGTCTGTTGGGAGGAAGGGAACAGGGAGAGAGCACGTAGGACGCCATCTTGAAAGAGGCAAGTGGGATAGCATTGCTGTGATTGGTGGCCGCTCTCCAGGCATCACATAATTGCTCAATATGAGGGGAGGGAACCTTCAAGGCAACGGGCTGGGTTTTGCGCGCAGCAAAGGAATCATTCTTGCAGAAGAAGCAATTGCTGTAGAGGTCAGTACGTTTGTATTTGCGTTACCTTAACGAATATGCTGTTTCGCTTTCATTACTGTTCGCCGTTCATATCTGTTGCTTAATGTGATTTAAGATCAATCCGATACGCGGTTACTCAGAAGCAAGTCCTGTTAAAGTTTAAAAGCAAATGTATGTAGGATTGTAGCCCTGAAGTGCGATCCTGTACATGTTTGCCCAATGGCAAATGTACCATTTAAGCGTACTCTGGGTTGCAACCTTAGAGTGGGATCATTAATAGTGTTACGTGTTCTAAGTGTACCACTGACCTCAGTAGATTGATTAGTTTTGTACCCCGCCCTCCCCGGAAACAGGCTCAGGGCGGCTTACATTGGTTGGTAAATAGCCATTAAAATCCATATAAAATCATTTACAGTCCATTACAAATAAGATCATAAAATCATAAAGGGCTGGCCATATTTCATTAGTTGGAAACCGTCCTTGTAGTCCCCCCAGCCAATTTAAATAGTAGAGGAATTTAAAAAATGAGATTTGTCATAGTAATCAGTTGTTTGAAGTAGTCAGCTTGGAAATATTTAGAACTATGTTTAGGGTTGCACTATTAAGCCTCTTGGCTGGGTTTCAGGGTCAAATTCCAGCGGGGTAGTGAAAACCTCTAGGTCAGGAGAATCGATGGTAGTTTTTAATTATTACAGAGTAACCGTGTGTGTGCCGTGGGGTTGGGGTGGGGAGTGCACTGACGTCCATTTGTGGACGAGACAGTTGGGAAAATAGGAAATATAAGGCTGTTGTGTTTCATAATCAGCTTTACAGAGGGGGATTTCCCCCCCCCCAAAAAAAAAAAATCCGGGTTTTGAAGTAGCTGGATTATAAGAGTCTGATAGAGAAAAGTGTGTTGACAATAAACTGGAGGCGGGGAGACCTTGGGAAGTTTGTGCAGCCCTGCTAATGGCTTCTTTACAGAACTAGTTTTAGAGGTGTTGGGCGAAAGACGTTTTTGACTCTCAAAAGCTTATACCCCAAAAAATCTTGTCGGTGCTGCTGGATTCGACTCTAGCTGTTTGCAGAACTAGTGGCTGTAACTGTTTTGCTGATGATAACAGGGTTGCCAGGCGTCCTCTTTTTAGAGGACATGTTCTCTCTTTTTTGTGTGTCATGTCCATTCTCTTTTGGTTCTTTTTTAAAAAACTGATAAACATGTCCTCTTTTGGGGCTGGGAGGCCAAGCCTATTTTGCCCTGTCCTCCCCCAGCCAACTTAAATAGTAGAGGTATTTAAAATGAGATTTGTCATAGTAATCAGTTGTTGGAAGTAGTCAGCTTGGAAGTGTTTCCTCTTTTTTGCTTTTCAAAATAAGATCACCCTGTGATAGATCATTTACAGACCTTCTCCTATTGGCAAGGGGGGGGGAGGTCTGTGAATGTTTTCCTGCTAATCGTGCAAACTTTTAAATGGAAAAGAGAAGCCTCATTAGGGAATGACTAGCGGGACAAAGAGAAGAGATTGGATTTATACCCTGCCCTTTACTAACTGAAGGAGTTTCAGAGCGGCTTACAAACTCCTTTCTCTTCCCCTCCCCACGACACACACCCTGTGAGGTAGGTGGAGCTGATACAGCTCCTCTGAGAACTGCCCTTGAGAGGAAGAGCTCTGAAAAAACTTATGACTGACCTAAAGTCACACCAGCAGCTGCATGTGGGGGATTGGGGAATCAAACCTGGTTCTCCCACATTAAAGTCTACGTTCTTAACCACTACACCAAAAATAAGGAGTACCCCTGGAAGAATGAAAAGGGGTGGGGAAGTGTTTCCTCCATTGAGGAAGAAATTCAAAGGCCCAGCTGCATGGACGATTCAGAAACTGGCAACCAGCCTCCCAAGAAACTGTGCATAGGTAGTGGGGATCTCTGTTTACTCAGCTGTTTTCTCATATTTGAATAATGCACTTCCAATGCACTTTAGCAATCATTTGCAACTGGATTTTCCAGTATTGAAAGGGACTTCCCTCCCAATTCGTTGTCTATAGGAGTGCCGCCGGAAGCCCTGCAAGCATCTTGAGTTCTTGGTATGGTCACCCCAAGTAGTTGGGCAGTGCATTATGTAGCTGCTGAGCAATCTGGCCAGAGGCATGTTTGTTGCAGCAAAACTAAGTTGGCATCTTTTGATTCCCCTCAAAGACTAAAAAGTTTGTTTTGATTCTCCCATAAGCCTTCAGAGATGGGAGAGAGCCTGCATTTCAATGGTTAAATCGCATGGCAGGTTTGGCGTTCAGAACATTATTGGTAATCAAGAGAAAAGGCAGAGGTGATGTGCAGGGGCAGTACCCCCTATATATAGGGGGTGGTGGCAGGGGTCTCCCTTTTGCCTTTTGTTCTCACGACACTCCTATGAAGAAGGGGAGGACTGACTGAGCATAACTGGACCAGACTCACCTGGTGAGTTTCATTCAGAGTAGGGATTTGATCTGACCACGACACAATATTGGCTCTATACAAAGGATTCAAAGGAGACAGTGGAAAAGATGGGCATACATCCTTAGGGTCCTCTGGTAACTAACGGGGACTCTGAGTCCGAACCAGTCCGTAGTAAAAAGTGGCGTGACCTTCTGCTTAATTGCTAAGCCAGTGTGTTCATTAACAGACTCATATCCTGTTCCTTGGTGTTGTCAGTAAACTGCCATTTGTACTCTGGGTATGTTCTGTGTAACCTGTCTGCTGTATGATGGGGGGGGGGAGGGAACTAGCCTGCATTTCTCTCAGTGCCGTGGTTTTGGCTTTGGAAGGTGGCGCTGCCTTTGTAGTTGATAAGACTATGAGAACGGCTGCTGGAGCGTTCCCAATCTGGCTGGTGTGACACAAACGGCTGGACGCTATCTCCCGCCTTGATTTTCTCCCGCTTTTTCCTGCTGAGCACAAACTGTATTCATTGGTCAATCCTGTGTGTTTGAACTGTCTATATCTGTTCCTGCTTGGTTTTGAGTTTCATTCCTGACAGTGACTATGTAAGAGTATCAATAGTGACTTGTAATAAAGCAACCTATTCTTATGAATTGTTGTGGGCTGCAACAGCTCTATTGAACATGACAGGTGTACTCTGATCTCTTTGCAGCTTTGCCGTTCAGTTTGCGGAACCAAATAAAAATGGCTAGAGTTGAGAAGTTTGCTCTGCACATACCAAGCCTAGAAGAAATTGTTGGGGGTGAGTAATGATGATTCTTTAATATTGCAGGAAATATTGAGAAGTAATGCAATCTCTTTCATTAGCGTTGTCTTATTCTGCATCAGTGGACCTGTTTCCTTCTTCCCCAAAAATCAGCAAATACCATGCTACAGACAATTATAAAATATCTCAAATAATGTTTATATATATTTTTTGTTTTATATTTTTACAATTTATTCACCATGTATTATTTATCATACAAGCCTTAATACATAGAAAGAATCATATATCAAAACATCTAAGTATCGTCTCTTAATATTTCACAAATGCTTTTCACTTTGGAGGAAACTTTGAGCTCACAAAGAGACTTTTTGCAGCATTCATTGAAAAATTTGGATAAATATTTTGGTATTTGGCAACCTTGTGCTTGGAAATATCTGTTGAACTCTCTGAGGAATACACTGAAACAGGAGGATATCTGGACCTCTGTTGGAGGAAGACTGAGCACTTATTCAAAATAGACTTAAAGGAGTCCTCCCTCTTAAAATATATTTTTTGTATAATTAAGGAGGACTGATATTAATAAAGGTGTTGTGCAATATCTTTGTGATATATTAAGAGATGATACTTAGATGTTTTGATATATGCTTCTTTCTATGTATTAAGGCTTATATGATAAATAATACATGGTGAATAAATTGTAAAAATATAAAACAAAATATATATATATATAAACTATTTGAGATATTTTATAATCGTCTGTAGCACGGTATTTGCTGATTTTTGGTATTTCCTACTTACCATGGGTCCTTCTTCCCCAAAGCAGAGAACCAGTCCTGGCTCTCTTCCACCACACTGGAGGAGGAAGTACTTCAGAAGACACCTTTATTTTGACTATCTGGGTCTATGGGGAACACTCATTTAGATATATCCACTGTCACAGGATGAGGTTTTGGCTTGGAACTTCCAAATGCTCTGCCCTTAGCCCCCGCCCGTGGCAACCATTTTATGACTGGTCCCACCTCCCAGCCTCTACCATGGCTTAAAATTCCCAAAAACTCAACGAAGTGGATGGTCACTGCATGTTTTAGAGAATCATTTCCTGACCCTGTCATAGCCTCGGACCGCCCTTGGGGAATCTCCCTTCAGACGAGCCTTGGCCATGAACATAAGAAGAGCCCTGCTGGATCAGACCAGTGGTCCTTCAAGTCCAACATCCTGTTCTCACACACAGGGGCCAAACAGCTCCTCTGGAGGGCCAACAACGGGGCATAGAGGTCAAGGCCTTCATAAGAAGAGCTCTGCTGGATCAGACCAGTGGTCCATCTAGTCCAGCATCCTGTCTCACACAGGGGCCAAACAGCTCCTCTGGAGGGCCAACAACGGCATAGAGGCCAAGGCCTTCATAAGAACATAAGAAGAGCCCTGCTGGATCAGATCAGGTCCACAGTGGCCAGCCAGTTCCTCTGGACCGCCAACAACAGGGCATAGAGGCTGAGGCCCTGATATTGCCTCCTGGCTCTGGGATTCAGAGGCTTAGAGCCCCTCAGTCACCATGGCTAGTAGCTGTTGATAGACCTTTCCTCCATGAATCTATCCAATCCCCTTTTAAAGCTGTCTGTTCCTGTGTCCATCATTATGTCCTCTAGCAGCAAATTCCACATTTTACTCTTTGTGTAAAGAAGTACAATAATGGCAGGAATAAGTCAATTAAGATTATTACCACCCTATATCTGGATATAGCTGACCAGTGTTCCCTCTAAGCTGAGAGTGTGAGCTAGCTCACCGTTTTTTAGCCTCTGGCTCACACATTTTTTGTCTCAGCTCAGGAAGGATGGGTCCAGAGCAAACTAAGTTTGCAGCAGCCAAATCGCTCGCTCACAACTTTAATGCCAGTAGCTCACAAAGTAGAATTTTTGCTCACAAACCTCCACAGCTTAGAGGGAACGTTGAGCTGACGCCAGCTTCTTATCCAAACGAGTAGGAAGACAAGCAGATTTAAAATGAAGTAGTCACATCTGACTGGGGAAGAAGGGCTGTTTTCTGGCCCTGTGAGTCCTGAGGCCATGCTGCTATTCAAAAGACCTTGAGAGCAGGGGTAGGCAGAAGGTCACTTGGAAGTAACCAGTCACTCTCTGAGAAATTATGGGTAGCTCTCTGCCCCTTCTCCTGGGCTGCTGGGACCACTTTTGTATCCTTCCCTTTAAAGCTACCACAGCAGCTTCTCTCCTCTTCTGTGCAAAGGAGGCCTAGACATGCACCTTTGCCCTGGATGCAACACGGACTGCATCAACACCCTTTCCTATATATGCCTCCTCCTCCTTTGTACACACACCTTTGCTCTAGACTGGAAAGGAGCGGGCTGTTGCCTTTTTCTCTGACCATCAAAGCTGCTTCTTCCAGGGAAAACACAGAGATAACTGTCTGGTTTTCCCCTGCAGGGTACACTAGAATAAGTGGGTGGGGCAGTTAATTTGGAAAACAAACAGAGGAGAGGTTTCCACATCTGAGCACTGCAGATGTGCCCAGAAGCACTGTAATTTTTATACCAAGCTGCCATTTTCAAATTGGCTCCACCCATGAAGCCACCATTTTCTGACTGGTAACTCTTAAGGCTCTTGGAACTACCACAACTAGGAAGGAAGAAATCAAATGGGGGTATCATTTGTGGTTTGATTCTGTGGCTTGATTCCAAATAAGGCATTCAAATAATTTTTTTAAACACTCTTAAATTCTTCTAGTTTTGCAGAGTGGACTGAAGGAAAACTATGCAGATGTTCAGGTGTCTGTGGTAGACTGTCCTGATCTGACTCAAAAACCCTTCGGCTTTCCTGTGAAAGGTACTGTACCATGGGCACATTCTGTGTTGCAAACATTCCATAAAATTAAATAATGAGACAGGAACCCTAGGTCTCGTTTCAGTCCAGGTGGATGCATTGTCTTGAGCTTCACTATCGGTTGCAATTCAGCAGTCTTTCTAAACTCTCTTTGAAATTCCTTTGTAAACACATTTTGTACAGTGCTGCCACCTTGCCTGTGTAAAAAAGCCCTCTTAAATAATTCAGTTTTGCATAGTTCGTAAAAAACTAAGAGGGTAAGTGTGTTTTTTTTTAAAAAAAAAACCCAACCCAAACCTAATTTTTATTTAACCAACTTCTGGTTTGGTATTACAGTGATCTCCAAATCCATCCATCTATCCATCTACACACAAGCACACATATATACGCCTAATTAAAAGGTAGACAACTTATATGAGAGGCAGCATGGTATAGTGGTTAGAGGTTGAATTAAAGTCTGGGAGACCCGGGTTCAAAGTCCCACTCTGCTGTGGGAGCTAGCAGGATGATCTTAGGCCAGTCACTCTCTTTCATCCCGATCTTCCTCACAGTTAGAGGACCCAAACGAAACACTTTGAAAGGCTTTGCTTCTGTAAAACTGTTTAGCAGTAGAGTGGTCCGGGATTTATCTTTTTAAAGAGTGATTAACAACCTTTAATTTGGATAATACAAAAGAGTGAGAGGGTAAGTTTGGCTCTGCGAAATGCAACCAGCACACCAGACAGAACACCTGTAGAAACTTTTATCTTTAATGAGATAAGAACACAGTTTGAGTCCAGTGGCACTCTTAAGACCAACAAAGTTTAATTCTAGGTCTAAGTTTTCGTGTATCTGAAGCAGTGTGCAGGCACTTGAAAGCTTATACCTCGAATAAAACTTTGTTGGTCTTATGGGTGCCACTGGACTTCAGACCAACGTGTCTACCCACCTGAATCTATTGAGATAAGGTTTGTTTTTTTAATTGAGCAAGACAGAAAAGTACAGGCATGAAAAAGTTAACCCTATTTATTGTGTTTCTATAAAGTAACAGAATAGCCACACAAAAAAAGGTTAACCCTACATTACTGTGAAGATATATGCTAAAGTTATCAAAGTGCCTAGCATTGCTTAATCATACTAGAGCAAGTAATAGTTTTTAAAAAGAAAACCAGGTTTCAGCTTTTTGTCTCACTGCCTTTAAGGATTATCAAAAAGCCCAAGTTACCCACCCAGAAATCTCACCTAGGATTCCATCCAGTGAAATCCGATCTGCTTGTCAGAGGAGTGCATATTTATATCTTTATATCTTATCTTTCTCTAAATCCTCTATCATAATTGTGTGGTTATTATCTAGATGACTGATTGGTTCATAAGTAAATATGATAAGTGACGTTAAGTGCGAATAATCATGTGGCTATCATCTAGATAAACTGATTGGTTCATAACTAAATATGATAAGAAACATAAGTGTGGATAAGCCAAGCTAAGAAGGCCAATATCAACTCTTAACCGCTATTAAAAAGCAATTAATCTAACTTTTCTGTAACTGTTTCAACTAACCGTCCAAGATGAAAGTAACGAAGTTGACAGAGTTCATTGAAAAGTGCTGAAAAGAGCCAGTTTGGTGTAGTGGTTAAGTGTACAGACTCTAATCTGGGAGAACCGGGTTTGATTCCCCACTCCTCCACTTTCACCTGCTGGATGACCTTGGGCAAGCCATAGTTCTGGCACAGCTGTTCTTGAAAAAAAAGAGCCGTTTCTGTCAGAGCTCTCTCAGCCCCACCTACCTCACAGGGTGTCTCTTGTGGGGAAGGGAAGGGAAAGGAGATTGTAAGCCGCGCTGAAACTCCCTTGGGTAGTGAAGGGTGGGGTATAAATCCAATCTCCTCTTCTTCTTAGCTTGAAAACTCAGCAAGAAAAGATAAGTGGTATCAGGGCTACTGCTACAGAAGCAGGAAGAATGATGCTGTAAGTTGCTTTAGGTCCCTACTGTGGAGAACTGCCAGATATAAACAATAGCGGCCCCAAAATCACAAAAATAGATAAAATTGTGATCTTTGTGCATGCATTCTGCAAAAATCCAGGGAGATGGTTGTTGGATGCTGAATTCATCTCTGCTTTCCTTTTCCACGCAAGCTTCTGGAAGGCTTGAGTCTAATTTCCCCAAGATCTGGCTTTAACCTCACAGGAGCTTGCTGACTTCTAAAAATAAAATTACAACTTTGAGGACATCTAGGAATTTTCAAAGAATTTATTTATTTATTTACATTGGATTTATATACCGCCCATGACACCTAATGGGTCTCAGAGCGGTTTACACTGTACTACTAGTATAGTTAGTTAACCTACCTAGGGCCACACATT